ACCACTCTCTCACACACACACAGAGAACCACACTCTCTCACACACACAGAGAACCACTCTCTCACACACACACAGAGAACCACACTCACACACACACACAGAGAACCACACTCTCACACACACACAGAGAACCACTCTCTCACACACATACAGAGAACCACACTCTCACACACACACACAGAGAACCACACTCACACACACACACAGAGAACCACACTCTCACACACACAGAGAACCACACTCACACACACACACAGAGAACCACACTCTCACACACACACACAAAGAACCACTCTCTCACACACACACAGAGAACCACACTCTCTCACACACACAGAGGACCACACTCTCACACACAGAGAGAACCACACTCACACACACACAGAGAAACACACTCTCACACACACACGCACACAGAGAAACACACTCACACACACACACAGAACCACACTCTCACACACACAGAGAACCACACTCTCACACACACAGAGAGAACCACATTCTCACACACAGACAGAGAACCACACTCTCACACACACACAGAGAAACACACTCTCACACACACAGAGAACCACACTCTCACACACACAGAGAAACACACTCACACACACAGAGAAACACACTCACACACACACACAGACAAACACACTCTCACACACACAGACAACCACACTCTCACACGCACACAGACTCAGATCCCCCCCCGTGTCTCCTCATCATAACGGTGGACTCAAGCGCTGCTAGCGAACACCTATTTATGGTTCGTTACGAACACACGATGGAGTTGGTGGCCAGCACCACGACCGGCCGCCTTTGTCTCCCCAATGCTGCTGTTTGCAACACCGCTACACACATACACGTGCACGTGCACACCGACACGTGCAGATCACGTGGGTGCGCTCATGATGCATAAAATGCAATACAGATGAACAAAGACGAATATCCGACTGGTATAGTCTGGATATACTGTTGGGACATGTGCTGTTAGCGAGCACATAGTAAGGCCCACACACACACACACACGTTGGCACAACAAAGACACCAATACACATTGACACACACACACGTTGGCACGCACGCACTGGCGATCACGCAACTGGCACACACACACTCACACTGGCACACATAGACACGCACGAACTGGCGATCACGCACTAGCACACACACACACATTCGCACTGGCACACACACACACTCGCAGTGGCACACACACACTCACACTCGCACTGGCACACACACACACAGTCGCACACTCACACTGGCACACACACAATCACACTGGCACACACACACTCGCACTGGCACACACACACTCGCAGTGGCACACACACACACTCGCACTGGCACACACTCACACTCGCACTGGCACACACACAATCGCACACTCACACTGGCACACACACAATCGCACTGGCACACACACAATCGCACTGGCACACACACACTAGCACTGGCACGTACACTCGCAGTGGCACATACACTCACACTGGCGCACACACACACACACTCGCACTGTCACACATACACACACACTGGCGCACTGGCACACACACACTCACACTGGCACACACTCTAGTACTGGTACACACATACACACACTCACACTGGCACACACACTCACACTGGCACACACGCACACACTCGCACTGGCAAACACACACACACTCACACTGGCACACACACACTCACACTGGCACACACACACACACTCGCACTGGCAAACACACACAATCGCACACTCACTCCGATTGCTCCATTGTGCGTGCTCGTTGAGCGCAGAGCGCTCCCTGCACAGGGCACGCAACGAGTCGCGAGCTGTTAGCTGGGTCCACGTCTTGAACATGGTACCAGGACTGGCTCTGGTACCAGGACTGGCTCTGATACCGGGACTGGCTCTGGTACCTGGACTGGCTCTGGAAACCAGGACTGGCTCTGGTCTCAGGACTGGCTCTGGTAACCAGGACTGGCTCTGGTACCAGGACTGGCTCTGATATCAGGACTGGCTCTGGTACCAGGACTGGCTCTGATACCAGGACTGGCTCTGGTACCAGGACTGGCTCTGATACCAGGACTGGCTCTGATACCAGGACTGGCTCTGACACCAGGATTGGCTCTGGTTATCGGGACTGGCTCTGATACCAGGACTGGCTCTGGCACCAGGTACTCGCTCTGGTACCAGGACTGGCTCTGGTACCAGGACTGGCTCTGACACCAGCACTGGCTCTGGTCTCAGGACTGGCTCTGGTACCAGGACTGGCTCTGGTACCAGGACTGGCTCTGGTCTCAGGACTGGCTCTGGTACCAGGACTGGCTCTGGTTACTGATCGAGTGTCTGGTATCAGGACAGGAATAATGACACTCGAATTGTCGCGTTTCTCTTTGTTATCGCAAAAGCCGCCGCCGCTGCTGCTGCTGCTGGCAGTGGTGGTGGTGGTGGTAACGTTGCTCTTGGTGTGCCACACACACGCGTCGGTCAGACAAAGACAAAGATCCCCCGTGT